CCAACAACAAGATTTTAATATGTACCTAAGAGCAGCATTCCACTTACCAAGTATGTGTTTGGGGCATTTACGAATCCTCCAAAAAATCCCAGCAACGCACTGAAAAACGGTAATGCCACTGCGATACCCATTGTGGCGCCTGCGATATAGGCCACAGCGCAAGTGAATCATCGATGCTGCCAAAAGTATAATCGCAAATATATGATGATGATGGGGCTTACCCACAAAAGTCCACCGGATGCTATACCGTAGAACTCTTGTTGGACTGAAGTGCCATTTCTTTATCATTACAGATTCCACCATGTCAAACACGGGCATTGCGTACACCTAAGACAGACAAGCAAATTGGTTTTGTTTTGTAGTAATTACAAGTTTTTCTAATATGGCGTTTCCCGGTACCTGGTAGCTTCCCAGGAGATGTACGACCACAAACATGTTGGCCACAATGATTAGTGGTGTAGGATCATGTAGCGATTTGAGGATGTTCTCTTGGACATCGTTTCCAAAGGTATGAAAGCCTGCAAGAGCCACAGGGAAGTAGCAGAAAGCTACAATGACATAGGCTACAATGGCTCCTTTCCACATGGGTCTTTTTGATGGGTTCTCAGGTGTTGATGGGATCGTTGCTTGAATCTCTAAAACAACGTTATGACCTCCGTACGCGAAAGCCATCTCCCCCAATGCACTTAAGAAGGCTAAAGGCACTGAGGTTATTCTCTTCTTATAGCCGTACTCTACACCGTCGACGGTGTGCCTCTTCAGTGAGGCTACCCAAGCTGTTGTTGAATAGCTGTGGAAGAAAGTAAGTACAAATTGAAATTGCTTCTCCAAAAGGGGTAGCAAAAAAGGGCTTAATTACCTGACAGACATGACAGCAGCTACCAAAGAGACACCAGAAATGGAGTTGAAGTTCTCAAGAAGAGAGAGCACAAACTGTGAAGAGGCAAAGATCAAAATGAAGTGTTTGATTTTCATCTTTGCGCAGTTTTCATGTCTCACGGCAAGGTCATGTACATTCTTCAAAGACTGACCTCCTGTCACCATATAGACTATGCAAACGCTGATTTTGACAAGAAGCTGTAGTGGAACCATGATGTACAGACCAAGCTTCTCGCCAAAGGCTGCCTGTCCCAGCTCGTGGTACCTATCGAACCGTTTCCCTTCAAACATTTCGTGCATCTCAGTCATTTGCCAGAGAGTGTATAGTGTGATGGCCCAAGACAAGATCAGCACCACAACCCCCGGTCCCCTGAAAACAAAAGATTGCTCAAGCTCCTCCAGGCCATCAAAATTGAGTTGGTGTCAGAAGAAGATAATCCATACCATCCGAGCTCTGACATGGCGTAAGGGAGAGCAAGAACTCCAGCACCAACTATGGCAGTCACGTTGTGGAAAGCAGAGTAGTACCAATTGGCATTTCTTGATGCTGTGATTGGAAGCCAATCTTCCAGGTCAAATGATTGGTCCTGTAAGTTACAAGGTATCTCAGAATTCTCCTATGCAAGCAAATCTTAAAAGAAAACCCAATTGCTTATAAATTCCTTCTTAACATGTAAATCATGATTGTGAGAAAGAAGATATATACCTCCTCCACAAGATCTTGGTTTTGGATTTGGTCCAATGGACTTGGGACTCCCTTCATCATTGCTAACAGAACACACAAACTTAAGGAATGTTGTGAGTTGTGAGGCAATGCTTTATGCTCTTTTTTTTCTGTGGTTCCAAAACTTGTATGCAAGAGAGACAGCTAGAGAGAGAGACTGCAAGTTGACTTTGACCTCACCGAAGGTTTTTTATTTTAGGTGGGCCTAAAAAATGCCTTGAATGATCTGTTCCTTCGTATTATTTAATTTTCTTCTTCAAATTTCTTAGTGTTGTTCAATTTGTTTATTCGTATTAAAATAGTCCTTGATCGGATACGTGCTCATAATGACTCCATACATGATATATAGTATGTATGACGACAGATTCATTTTATATGATTTTATGTCACTATTGGACAGTTTCTGTAATTCCGATTATTCTTGTTTATCACCGTTTTATAATCTGATTTTTTTTTGTTGTTGGAATTCTACAAATACAAATCAAATGGATATATTTGTAGAAAATTCAATATTCGATTTTAAGTATCTATCAAGTCAATTTAGAACGAGTCAACCCATCCTTTTATTTTTGCTCAAGCACAATATGAGGAGAATAATCTTTCTTCAAGTCAATGATAGAAAGATTAATCAAGTTTTCATTAATAATAAGTGGTTATAAATAGACGAACAAGTCAGGTGGGTGCCACCATGATTGATTGATTGGTGTCGGGATAGGTTTTATTAGTGTTCGAATATTAATTAATTTAATTTAGAGAATTGAGAATTTTAAGAAATGCCAAAAGTACCAATTTTCAAAAATACCATTTTTTAAAAAATTTTGCAAAAATATCATGTTTCAAAATTATTTATTCATTATACTATCATTTATGTTTGGGTTAACTATGTTGTATAAAAATTTAGTTTTGAAAGTTTAGGATTTGTTAGTGGTCAAAATATTTGTTAGGAGTTTAGAATTTTAAGATTTAAGATTTAAAAATTCATAATTAGTGGCAGTTCTACAAACTATATTGACATTTTTTAAAATATACATATCAAAAATAGCATTTTTGTAATTACCCCTTTAAAATTCACATAAGAATTTAAAGTTTCAAACAACAAATTTTATTTATGAGGTTTCAAAGTTTCAAACAATTTTGGTTTTGGTCATTTCTACAAAAAGGTAAACACTGCCAAAAATTGTTTGCTTAATGCCCTATTGTAAAGAATCCATATTTTTGGCCTAATTATAATTCCAGATAACAAAAAAAGTAAGTAATTGCAAAAATTGTTTACAATTCATGAAAAGAGAAGAAACAAATTGGCAGGATAATGACTCTGCGAGAGGGCCTATTGGGTCATAGTGGCATTTTTTCCTTCAAACAACAAGTCAGCCGATTTTCACTTTTTTTTTCCCCCCTTACAAGTGGCATAAGGAAAAAACTTACACAAGGAAAAATCTCGTCTTGCATTCACTTTTTAGGTGAAGAGAAAAAACAAAAGAAAAAGACAATCAGTATTTGGAGTTTGTTTAGGTGTATTTGCATTTGGAGTTTGGTAGAGTGCCCTTTTTAATATGATATGCTAGTTTGACCAGTCCCCCAATAGGTGCTATGATCATCAGCACAACCCCAAGTATTATGCAACTCTGAAAAACAAAACAAAAAAAATCTCTTCTCTATAAAGCTAATCAGTTGAAACAACATACCATGGTAAGGGAGGAGTTGTGCTTACCCAGTTGAGACACCATGAGACACTAAATCTCTTTGGTTTCTTTAGGATCAACCACATGATGCAGGGGATCTGAAACACACAAC